AGTCTTTTGTAGTTTGTTGTTTGTAGATGTTGTTTGTTTAGAATATTGTTAACTGTATAATTAAAATCTCCTATTACAATAAATTGTGTTTGTCTTTTCCTTTTTAAAACTGTTTCTATGATTTTTTGCTGAATGTTTTTTCCTACTATTTTGTTATTTAGTGACATATAAACTGCAATTACTACTAATTCCAATTGTTTACAGTATAGTATAATTTCTATTATATATTCACTTATTTTCTTAACAGCATCTATGTGTTTCTTCTATTGTTCATTGACCATAATTTCAACACCTAACCCTTTTTTCTTATCCTCTGCTACACTTGTCCAAAAATCTACATATCTTTTGTTTGCTGCATATGTTAGGAATTTTTCTTTTCTTTCTGTAAGATTCATCTTCATAATTCCTATTATTAAGATTTCTTCTTCTTCTGCTCAGTTGAGCAGATTTTCCAGTTTTCAACCTTTGGTTTTGAGTCTGTTAATATTGTGACATGCCAACTTCATTTCCTTTTTTCCCTCTTTTTATTTTTCTTTTAAAGGTCTTCATTTTATTATTATCCTTTCTATTTTCTTCTTTTCTCTATTCAACTCTTTATCTTCTTGACAAGGGGACTTCATTTCTCTTCTTTCTTCAAACACTTCTCTTTCCTTCCATAAAAAATTTTCTATTTTCTTGTTTAGGTTTATTAGTTCAACTATGGCACCTTTAGGAGCAGTTAGGTTGATCTATTCCATTTCTTTCCACTTTCTTCTCTAGTTTTTCTAATCTTTCTAGTATTCGGTCTAGGATATTTTCAACATAAAAATTTTCTTTTTGATGTTGAGTCTGAGTTACTGTTTTCTTTTTACTCTTTTCTTGCTTCTGGGTTTCAGTTGTTAAGCTTTCCTTATCTTCTTTATATTAATAATTTTTGTTGAACTTCTTTACTCAATTATTGCTTCTATTATATCCATATTTCTTTATATCAGAAATTTCGCTAGTATTATCACTATTGATATGTTTTGTGTCTGTATTTCCTTCTTTATATTTTTGCCAAAAAAGTAGATAGTTGTTGAATCTTATCGGCTTTGTCTGTGCTGCTTTCATTTCTTCTATTGATACAAAAGTAATTGTCACTAATCTTCTTTGATTTTTATTTCTGTTAGATGGTATGTATACTGATTTTGCTTCTCTTTTTTTTAGGCATCATAGTAGTAATACTTCTAATGTATTATCTAAAAGCTCTGTTAACCTTGTTGTAAATTGACTTTGTATATTACATTGATTATAATCTTCTTCCCCTAACATTACTCTTGCTAGTCTATATACCCCTATTAGTAGTGATCATAAAATCTTTTCTTTTCCTGATTCTTTTGTTTTAATGACTGCTAATGCTTTGTATTTGGATCTTTTAATATATTCTATTTGAGCTTCTTTGATGTTTTTGCACATATGTTTTACTTCTTCTATATTAATATTTGCTAGAAGATCCCATATCATTATGTATAATACTGCTTCTAAATTCTCTTCTGTTAAGTAATCCATTTCTTTGTAGTCCACTTCTTTTTGTCTAGTATAGTTTTTTGACTTTCTTTTTTCTCTTTCTTTGTCTTTATATGCTTTCTGATACTGTTTTCTTTCTAGTCTTTTTGGTTCTTCTGGAATGATTTTGAGCCATTCACCTTCTTTTTTTTTTATCCTTTTTATTGCTGTATCTTTACTAAACTCACAGTCAAAGTCAATTTTTGTTCAACTTTTATCTTTTTTAAAAACTTCTTAAATTGATTTGATGTAATGGTTTCCTTGAAAGATCTACTGGGTATATTTCAATCTTTCTTCCTTGTTTTCTCCTAATACTATATATGTTGGAATATTCATTTTAAAAGATTTATTTTTGTTATATATATAGTTTTTCAATGACCATTAACTATTCTTAATTGTGTTTGTAAGTGTTGGTGTTTCTTAATTCTTTTTCTTTGCTTTTAACTCTATCATTTTCTTATCTATATCTTTGATTTTTTTTCTTAAGTTGTATATTCTGTTATTTATTAATGTTTCTTGATCTTCTTCAGTTTGTTTTTCTTTACCATTGGTCTTTTCTTTTGTTGTACTGGCTAATGACATTTTTGGAACTATATTTTGAGAATTACTAGAACTTGGTTGTTGTGTAATTAAGATACTTAGTTCTTTCATTTGTCCTATAACTCTCTTTAGGTCTTGGTTTATCTCTTCTTTTTTATTTGTTTGTTCTTGGTTTCTTTCTTTTTTTCCTGATATAGCTATTTCTTTCTTTCCTACTTCTTTAACCTTTCCAGTTTTCTCTATTTTTGTTTCTTTTTTAATTGTTTCTTCCTTATTAAAATTCATTTGAGGGTTAAAAGAGCCTAGATTTACATCTATTGCTAATAGTTTTATTGCCTATTCTTTAATAATATTATGTGGTACTATGTACACTTCAGCTATTCTAAGCATTTCAAGAATTTGGCTATAAAGAAGTAAATCCTTTACTATGATATTTTTCAGATTGTAAACTGCTAAATCTTTTACTATATATTCTAAGTTATCTGGATTTTTAATATATTTTGATAAGATCTTATCTAGTATCTTGCTATCTATATATCTACAGTTTCTATCTCTGAACCTCTTAATATATTAAATCAAATCTGTGTCCAATGGCAATCCTATCCTTGTTTGTACTTTCATTTCTAGGTTTTTTTGTTATTCATCCATCTAGTTAGTACTTATGTTTGTACTTACTTATATTTTCTAATATGGTTGTTTGTTGTTTAATGTGATGTGCTGTTGTTTGTTATTGTTTATGTTGATAGTTGGTTACATGTTCTGTTATTGTTTTTCAAGTTTAGCATACTTTTAGATTTCTTTAAGAAATTTTTTCAAAAAATTTTTAAAGCCAGAAAAAGTTTGTTTTCTAAAAACTTTGCTTATATTGTTGCTAAGACAAAGTATTTGTATTTTGTGTACTGAATCTTTTTTCTTAGAGCTTTAAATAAAGTTTGTTGAACCAGTTTTGTGTTTTCTTAATGTATTTATTTTAGTTGTGTTTTAAAAAAAAGGATCAGCAGAAAGAGTTTTTTGATGTTAATTTCTGATTTTAACCTAATCATTACTAATAGTTGCTATAATATGAATATTATATAGATAATTATTCAAATTTTCATTATTGGTAAGATTTGAACATCCAACCTACTACTTGAGAGATTGACAACCTAACTACTTCACTAAGTCATCATATCTTAGATCTACAATTTAAGTTTAACTAAAAATAAATATTCTAAAATCAAAAATTAAAACTTATAATTAAATATAAAATCTTGTATAAGTTCAAATAAAAGTATATATTAAATTTAAAAAATTCTTAAAAATAAATTAATATAACATAACACAAGTATTTCTATAATAAGAAATATGAAAAATGTTATTAACATTTATGAAAAAATTAATTTTATCTAATATAGAATTAGTTTTAATATAAGAAACTCAAAATAAATATAATACTCTATTTTGATAAAATTTATTTCAAGAATAAATTAATTCTAAAGTTCAATAATCAAAAAATTAAACTTGTTTTGATGTTACAAAAAAACATTAAAAATTAAAAACTTTAAATAATAAATTTGCAAACAAGTTCTAAGTATAACAATTAATAAATAACTTGCAAGTGGAACTTTTAAATAAACAATAACTAAAATTATATATATAACTAATTGTAATCTTATTAATATGCAAAATATACTATCTTCTCCTTTTATAAAGTACTCTAATAATACTAACAGATATTTACTGATCAACAATGATTAACCAATTAGATTATAATATCAGATGTAACATGAAATTAAAGGTCTGCAAATTGCCTATTTTTGAGATCCAGCCTGACTTGCATTTAGGATTAAAATTTTTTTGCTAATCCAGCTTGACCCATATTTAGAAGTAAAATTTTTTTACTAACCTGACCTGACCCACATATATTAAATTTTTCCTTCAGCCTGACCCTGTCCGTAAAATTTTTTATGTAATTTTGCAAATTTTTCAACCTAGCCCGACCTGCAATTATAAAATTTTGCAAAATTTTTGACCCGGCCCAGCCCGCAATTATAAAATTTTGCTTCAGGCCCGGGCCAGGTCGGGCTACGGGACCCAATGCAGGCCTCTATGTAAAATCAAAAAAAAATAACAATTTAAAAAAACCACCGTAACTCGAAATTTTGCTTATGTAATCATCATCTGCGCATTAGTAAAAAAATTTCTTGCGAAATTTTAGTATAAAACAAATATCATTATAATTATAAACCTGACCTTAATGTAACATTTTATGACTTTAAAAAAATTGTCGATCAGTGAAAATCTATCGGTGCCACTGGGGTAGTTCCTCATACATTGGTAGGAACTAAAAAACAATAAAAACCACGAGACCAAAAAAGTCTCTATAAACGGAAAAAAAAAATTAAGGTCTTTTGATATTGGATATACCTGTAATATTTTTCAATTTTTCAGTATCTTTTCTGTCTTGATACATATTTTTACAAACCTTCTAAATATTTCTTGTGTCTGACTACTAGTTGTCTTAATTAACATATAAGTAATATTTAACGTTTTATTATGTTTTTTTATTATATAAAAGCGGATTTAACTATTTCGCAACTCAGGTTTCATCCTGTCTTAATTTAATTTAATGTATTGGTTTTATATAACCCGACCGGTTCACCTATATACGTACTTTATAAAAGCCAATTCGTCAATGGAATTTTGTAGTCTTAAGAATATTGTAAACTCTTAACTCTTAAATTATAAACTTGTACAAAATTTTATTATATTTTAATCATACAACTTCTAAACTAAATTACAAAAAATTATAATTGCAAAAGAAAAAGATTAAATTAATGTAGTAAAGAAATCTTAAATATCATATAGTATAATATTTCATACAAATAACTTATTCCTTGGATATTGTTATAACGATAATAAGACTCACTTGTAGTAGATACAGGTAATTTTACATCTTATTCATGATCAATTTCCTGGTAATCCTTACGATCTACACCTGCTCTCTTCCTAACCCACACAGGAATCATAACAGCCACGGCAACTAATGCCAAAGCACCAACATTTTTCCAACTAAAAATCGTAAATTCTTGATCGCTCGTCAAATCGCTTATGGTCATACCAGCCTGTACATAAATAAATGTATAGCCCAAAACACCAAAAAAAGTACCTACGAAAAAAGGGATTAACGGAACTCCGACATGTGGAGCCGCAATATTTATAAACCAATGTGGAGGAAGGGGTGAGATACGAACAATTAACATATAGTTTAATAGATTATGGGAGTGTTTATCAAGTTGACGGGACCAAGAGTCAAGTTTTGACCTGAATCGAGATTTTACAAAGGATTTACCATAAGCTTTAGAAAGCAAGTAACAATTTGATGAGCCTATTCCTGTGCACTTTTTTTAAAAAGAAAAAGAAAATCAAATTTGGATAGCAGAATCGAAAACCTGGCAAATAATAACGCATACCAAACAAACAAGCAGCAGTGCTATAGGCATACTAAATAATGTGCCACCCAATATAGATAGCCACATGCTACCTGGTATCGAAAATGTCTGTATGCTAAATGTAAAATTATGATAAAAATAGCATTAGCATAAGCATTAATTATGATTATAATCGGATGAGTTATCGGATGAATAACTTACAATATATAAACGACGGAATATGATAATATTATTTGGTAGTGATATCGATCCATATATTCATTGAGTATTTTATTTAATGTTCGTAAATCTTCAATTCCTCTTGGCAAATGTAAATGTTGCCTTTGCTTTCTTTTAAAGTAACAAATTCAAATACTTCACAATTGAATTCTCAAAAAGAAATTCGATTTATTTATTTAGAAACTTACTCATCTAACGGAGGCAAATATACTCTTAAGATTAAACAGACGAGCACAGCTGAAATAATAAACAATACGATCAATTGTATTATAGCTTTTAGTGGTTTATTATTTATCAGTGAAATATCAGCTTTATCTTCCGGAATGGTTACTATTATTACAGGATCACGATCTTGCAAAGTAGATGTTAACAAAGATGTTGTTTCTGCCATTATGCGAATTATTAAGAAGGATTGAAATGAAAATTAAAGAGTTATACAGTTGAATAAATTGTATAGAAATGTATTTGTTATCTATATTTAAATGTCTAAATATCAGTTTTATTATAGTGTGCAACATACGTGCATTGCTATCTTCGATGAATTAAAATTTACGCACTCTGTTTGGTATAAATGCACGATTTGTACCACTGATCTCTTTGGGGTTATTTATAAGCACAAGATACTATATTACCAATTTTATATCTTTTTATTAAATGTGGTTTAAATTAAATATGGTACATGATGAGTCACGTTATCAGCTGTTCTAAGGGCAAAGCCAAATAACAAAATAACAGTGACGCAAACGGATTGACCTATTGATCATTCGGGATTAGGTCCGGATCGGGAACACGAAAATTATTTTATATAGCGCAGTTAAAGTAAATCACACCAAATCATACGTATAGTTTGTATATATATAGCATGAAATACAGTAATTATCTAAATTGCAGGAATTTCACAATACAGTCGACTGATTTGCAGAATCTTTTAAAATTTTGATGCTTCTAAATTTACAATATCGACAAAGTGCGATAGTCATTTGACAGATAAATTAGGAAACCGTAAAATTTTAGATATAAAATTTTTTACAAAAAATCTAAAATTTTAAATACTAGCTTAAATTTTAAATTTTGGAGAATTTATAGTTAAGGGTAAAGTATGACATAGATCATCCTATATATAATGAGTTGCAAAAAAATTTTATATAATAACTACAAAATGTATTACTAAGGTTAATATTTATGATAGCTATCATCTTTATTGTGATTTTAATTATACATTACATATAACTTGTACAAAGTAAGCGTGTAACTAGTTACATATGTAATTTTTTTTTTTATTGTTAAAGGTTATACTTTATGGTGTTATTTTATTAACATGTTAGAATTAGTATTATAATTATTTTTACAAAGATGAGAGTACAGTTAGTTATACATGTAACTTTTAGTTATTTATTTAAGTAGTTTGTTTTAGGATTCTATATTAAATGTTATATTTATGATTTACTAGAAGATTATTCATTTAAACCTTTTAATCATTTGTCCTGTTAATCATTATATCTTCAGTATATACTTAATTAGTATATCTTTTGAGCAGTACAGTATCTTTCTTTTTGAACTGATTTATAAACTATTACAAATTTCAGAGTATGACATTTGTTAATAAGATTCAGAAGATTCTTCTTGTTAATTATATTTATTTTATAAATTATTAACAAGAACTTGTTTTTGTAAAGTTTATTTATATATTAGTATCTACTTCATAGCATATCTTAGTATATATTTTAGTATGTTTCTGTTTTGTTCTTAGATTTTTAATCTAAATAGTTTAGAAGAACTGTAATCTGTTACTAATATATTGAGTTTGATCTAATATTTTTTTTTAATTTGAGCTAGCAGTCTAGTTGATAATACTCTTTATTTAGAAATTTTTATCTGTCTGATTTCTTTATATTAGTATCTGTTTTTTTAGTTTAACTTTTATAATAATATCATCAAAGATTTGTGTTATCATTTTACTTAAATTTTTTTAAATAGATTTTAGTTTTTCTTAGTTTTATAAATTTATATAGTTATAAGAACTTATCTTAGATTTATATTATCTAATACTGGTTTGCATTCTTCTGTATAAACAAAAATATACAAATGTCTTATAACTTGTTAATTATACTAATGCAATTATAATTACAAATATTTTATTCTAATTGATTAATAGAATATTGTTATTATAATGCTATATATGTAATTATTTAAATTTCTAGTATTAGTAAGTTTTAAACTTACAATCTATTACTTAAAGGTAGTGTTTTTATAAACTTGAATTAAATGAACTTTGGTCAAGTTCAGATTTAGGTTCAGTTTAATACTAAACTAAAACTTTTTTTAAAAAAAAGTTCAGTTCAGGTTCAATATTAAACTTTTAATTTAAATTCAGATTCAGTTTAAGTTCATAAATTTTAAGTTTAGTTTAGGTTTAGGTTTAATGATCTGCAAAATTTGCAATTCAGTTCAGATTCAGATTTAATTATTTACAAAATTTGAAGTTTAGTTCAGATTCAATGAACTTAGTTTATGATTTGAACTAAATTAAACTGAACTTAGAAACACTAATTTTAGATTTTTTTATTAAAAATCTAAAATTAAGTATTTTTTCTTTATAACTAAAAATTATAAAATAAATATATACTAATATAATGTATTTTTATATTTAAAACAAAGTTACTTAAAGAATATAAATATAATTAATTAGTAAAATTTTGAGAATAATAATATTTTTTATAATTTTATTAATAAAATTATAAAAATTATTATAATTCTTAAAATTTTACTAATTAATTATATATCTATTCTTTAAGTAACTTTATTCTAAACATAAAAATACATTATATTAGTATATATTTAATTAATAAACTTTTGTAAATAATAATATTTTTTATAATTTTATTAATAAAATTATAAAAATTATTATAATTTCTAAAATTTTAATAATTAATTCTATCTTTATTTTTTAAGTAACTTTGTTCTAGATATAAAAATATATTATATTGGTATATATTTATTTTATATTTTTTAAATTTAAATAAAAGATGTTTAATTTTGAATTTTTTTATCAAAAATTTAAAATTATACATCTTTTCTTTAGAACTAAATATTATAAAATAAATATATACCAATATAATGTATTTTTTTATATATAAAACAAAGTTATTTAAAAAATAAAGATAGAATTAATTAATAAAATTTTAAAAATTATGATAAATTTTATAATTTTATTAATAAAATTATAATAAATATTATTATTCTTAAAATCTTATTAATTAATTCTATCTTTATACTTTAAGTAAATTTTTTTTTTAAATATTAAGGTAAATGCTTGTAATCTAGTATTTTATTAATAGTATATTTGGCTAATAGTTGCATTATAATTACAGAAGGCAATTATGAAAAAAGTATACAACTAGCTATCTATACAACTTTAGTTATTGTCTAATTTAAGTAATTTGCCCAAAGGTTCTACACTAGCTATTATACTTAAAACTTGCTTGTAAATTCCTTATTTAACTATTTTAGTTTTTATATCTACTCATTTACCTCTATCTACTAATGACTCTAATCAATGTTAGTAAAAATATATTATAATTACTAAGTTTTTAAAGCAGTTTTTTGAAACTTTTGATTTTGTACTAAACCTTTTAGAATCTTCTGTATTCTATTTTTACAGCTAACCTGATATCACTATGGCTAAGACCAATACTAACAGTTAGAATATAACATTAAACTGCTATGACTTTGTAGAGTTCATCACAACCTTGATCCTAATTTCATAACATATTCCTATTACTTTGGTATTCAATTCAAGTTTCACTAAGCTGTCATTTCAGATAACCTGAAAAGGTAAGCTGTAATCATAAATACTAGATACCTCTACAAACAATTTTATCATAAACATTAAAGATTATCTTAACATTGCTATTCATAATATTTAAGAACTTAACAATTCACTAAAGTTGCAAATCTGGCTTAAATACTGTGCCAAAAATAATTATTATATAGTTTCTATTACAAAAACAAAATTAAAAAACTCTTCTTTGCAAAACTCTTTAATCTACTATATAAAATTTATATATCAAACTTTATATCTAAAAACAACTCTCAATATAAAACCAGTATGAGTACTATGATTATGCTTTATAATTTACTTCAACCTTATATATTCAACATTCAAACTGTTTCAAACACTGCAATATGCATTAATTTTTACCTTCTTACCAACAATAAACTTCATATAATTTTATTATACTTATCTTTAAACCATCCAGAACAGCTTAAATCTATACAAAACACAATCATACATTGGCTAACTCAAGCAAGAAGTAATAATTGGCATATAATTATAATAGAAAATTTTAATAACAACTCCAATCAACACAAATAATTAGCAAATTTATTCTCTTCACTTCAATCTTTATCATTTACAAGCTTATTAGAATTCTATGTCATAACAGAACCTATATAGCAAAGAAGCTCAAATCAAAATTAAATTAATAACATATAGGTTAATTCTGAAGTTTTTTTAGATTTTACTTTATTATCAATTACTGATTTGGTTAATATTACTGATAGTAATTATAAAATAATTACCACTACTTGAAAGACAAACTTTCAACTAAAAATACCTAGATTTAAAAAAAGAAAAGAATGATATACCTTTATTACCAAATAACAACAGATACTTAGAAAGACTTTGCTAACAAACTAAAAACTGAAATCAAGTTAATAAATCCGATTTACAATATTATGACATTACAACAGCTAAACAACCTTTAGAATAAATGATCAAATTCAATTAAAAAAGTTGTAAATCAATCTATACCAAAAACATATATTGTGCCTAAAAAACACTAAGTCTTTTTCTCAAAGCAACTAAATTACATTTAGCACTTAAACTAATAAACAAATATCTCTTTATTTTGAAAAATAACCAACCTCCAATTTTAATTCATTTTACAATACAAAATCTAAATAATTTATTTCAACAAATATTATCATACTCATCCATAATACTAAAATATCCTAACCTATACACCTTCATAAAAATTAACACTATGACTTTACAATAAATAATCACAAAATCACAACAATTTAGAAAATTAACAAGTATTATTAATAATCAGGCCAAAATTAAACATTATAGCACTTATTTACTAAATGCTTACCAATTAATATTATGTCTTAAATATCAAATCAAAAACTTAAAATTTAAAACAACCTATTGCTATTTTACTAACCTTATACATCTGACCTTTAAAATTCAAGTTGACTGTCACAAATGAATTCATGCAAACTTTAATTGTTTATACTTCTATTAAACAACTACTCAACCTAAACAAAATTACAAATATTTACTTCTAATCTCAAAATATTGAACCAACTATCAATTTTTATAGACCT